GTGGGACCCTACCGTGGGCACGCACTGCTGTTGCAGGTTCATTTTCGGCCACTTCTTCTGGGTCCATCCTCTGATGAAAGTTCCCTCGGGCCGCGCAGGGGCGGCTGCGGTCCTCCGCACAGAACTGTGGGTCGCCTCAGGTGGATATTTTTTTTTTTTCTTTTTTTTTTCTGAAGGGTCTCAGCACCTCTCCGCTCGCCCCCAAGATCCCTCCGCATCGGCCCAGCATTACAACTGAACCAATGGTTTTCCTCCCTACCTTCTTCCTCCACCTTGCTGTGGGATTATGGGTGATTATCTCCCAACAGTAGGAGGGTATAGTGGAGAGCTCCTCTGCAGAGGAAGAAGAGAAAAAGGCAGAGGAATCCCTCACTTGAAATGAGATTGGGAAATGTGTAAAATGTGGGAAACAGTGAAAAATTCTGTAGAAAAGCACCACCTAAATAAGGCTGTACAGTGGAAGTAATGAATCTAAGGACAATGCTGATTGGTTTCTTGCCCCGCTGTAATTCCTGCTGAGTTGCTATGGCACCCAGCCAATATGGCGCTGTAGGTCATGTGGTATGGTGCTGAGTCACTATGGCGTCCAGCCACTATGGTGCTGCCCACCAGAGGCCATGTGCTAAGCCTCACCCTTCTTCTGCTGAGTCAAATTACAACTTCCTACTTCCCTTTTTGTAATATCCTGTTCCCTTTTCCCACATTCCCACCCAATTTTGGTCTGCTATGTCAGGCAGTCCGCCTCCTAAACCCTGCCTCCAGCCTGGGGCTATTTAACCTTGGACCCCACTAAAGATCCTTAGAAGCGCCACATTTTTCTCTTTCTGTGGCCTTCTCCGTGCCCACAATAAAGGCATTTTATTCTGTTTTACTTCTGTCTGAGCTGGAAAAACCTATCAAATGCAATGTCACATTTCCACAAAATCCTCAAAAGTAAGCAAAAAGAAGTGTCATTGGATAGGTTCTTCGTTAAAACTGCAAGAAAAGATAAAGATTCTATTGAGCCAAGGATAGCAGTGGTTCCATTACTTATAGGGCAAGTCGTCCTACACAGTAACTCTCCTCTCTCATCTCTCTCATGCCAGCCATTAAGGTTTTCAAAGGTTAATGAAGGTTAACTTGTTTTTCTTTATATTTTTATTTTCTTTGTTTTGTATTATATTACAGAATTATAATCACTTATATATATTTTTTGAGTCATCTGAGTTTCCATTATTTCTTATGGGGAAATTTGCTTTGCTAGACTAGTGCTTTGGATTACAAGCATGTTTCCAGTTAGAATTATGCTCACAGACCAAGGTTTCACTGTACATATATATTTCCAATCTCTGTTATAAACACTCAAACATTTGACTACTGAGATCAGACATGGTGGAAATACAGTCCCAGTCAATACATTTTCTACTCCAAGAGGAAGGTTCTAGGAGCAGAATTTTTCTTGAAGAAGATAATCCCTGGGCTGAGCCCTGAAAGAATGTGTTCCTAAAAAAGGTAGCATTACAAAGGGTAATGTCAGGCACAAGCACCTTGTGGTGCCTCTCCCATACAGATTTCTATTTTAAAGAATTTCAAAGCCTAAAATTTGGCCCAATAAACAATGTGGTATGTAAATGAATACAGGGCTTATAGTTTAGTGATTCAAAAACAGTGAATTGTGTCATGATCCTCCTGTCTCAGCCTCCCAGAGTACTGGGATTACAGACATATATCACAGCATTTGGCTATGTACATTTTTTATAAGAAACTTTATGAGACATGAATTTTCTTTAAGGTAAGGCTAGTAGAACAAAAGCCAGAACCCTACTCAAATGCAAATTTGTCTTCAGGATGAACATTTCTACTCTCCTTGTTAAAAGTTGTCATTTTGCATCTTCTATTTCCTGCAGCACTAGACCCTAGGGCCTGATACAGAAGATAGGGTCATGGCAAAGCTGGCTGGGGAAATGAGCAGGGCCTGTCAATTATGAGATCCCAGGACAACTCAAGGACCCAGTATGTAGAACTTCTCCTGGGTTCCAACCAGATGTGGATGGCAGTAAAAGGACTGGCCTGATTTTTTTCAATTATTTATATGTTCTAGATATTAATCCTTTGTCTGAGGGACAATTGGCTAAATTCTTTCCCACTCTGAAGGTTCTTTGCACTCTGATGGTGATTTTTTTTCAGGGCAAAGGCTTTTTAATAGGATGAGACACCAGTCATTGATTCTGGGTTTGTGATCTGGGTTTTGTTCATAAAATCTTTGCTGACACCTATGTCTTCAAGAGTTCTGCCTATTCTCTCTTCCAGCAGATTCACAAAAAAATCAGAACCTTAAACTTAAAGATCTTATCTCAAAGTGGGCATCTGAGATGAGTATACATTTCTCAGATGACAAAATACAAATGGCAAATAAATATATGAAAAAAAATTTTTTGACATCACTGGTTGTGGTGGACTGACAACTGGTGGTGAACTTGTAAAACCCACCTGAACTGAACCAGCATAGTGCTGGGTGTGGGAGACCCACCTGAGGGTTCCTGCCAGGAGTGTAAGAGGCAGAACTGGAGAGGAAGAAGTTTAGAAATCAAAGAGTGCTGTTAGTTCTCCTGGATGAGCTTGTCATGCTGCCTTTCCTGATCTGTTCTCATCATCAGAGGAGCTTGGGATCTTGGTGTCACTAAGAATGGCTACAGTTCACTTTGGGGGAGCTCTGGTCCTCACTTTGAGCACTGCTTCCTGGCTCTGGAGAGGAAGATGGTGCACTGTTCAGTATCCTGGAGAAGCTTGTCACACTGGCTTTCCTGTCTTGGACTCAGCTGTTTTCATTGTCAGTGGAGCTCAGGACCTCACTGTCGCTGAGGATGGCTGTGGTACCTTTCGAAGGCGCTCTGGTTCTTGAGTGTCGCTTCCTGGCTCCAGTGCATATCCCTCAGCCTGCTACCACAGATCTTTCATCCCACTGGCACAGACTTTCTATCTTCCACCATTGACCTTTGGGCCTTCCCAGTGCAGATCTGTGAAACAGGCCTGCATGAGACATTGTTGTGGGGTCTTGGCCTCCAGTTGGACCTATTGTGGGCATTGTTATGGGCTCTAGGTCTTCAGATGGACTCAAGCGGGACATTGCTGTTGGATCTAGGCCCTCTGCTGGATTCTTTGGTCTTTAGTGTGTGGACAGATTTCCTGCACTCTTTCTGTATGACTCTTCGGGTGACTATTATAAAATAATCTTATAAACTATATGGCCTGTATTGTGTTTTCCCCTTGTAAACCCCTGACTACAACAGTGGTATTCAAGAGGTGCAAATTAAGACAACACTGAGATTCTACGTCACCCCAGAAAGAAAGGATATCAGCAAGAAATCAACCAAAAGCAAATGTTGGCAGGGCTGTGCAGAAAAGGGAACCCTTCTCCACTGTTGGTGGGAATGTAGACTGGTGCAACCACTGTGGAATCAGTATGGAAATTCCTCAAAAAACTAGAAGTTCCATTTGACTCAGCTATTTCCCTTCTGAGTATCTTCCTGAAAGAATGAAAAGCATCATATCACAGCGATATATGCACACCCATGTTTATAAGCAGCACAGTTTATAATTGCTAAATCTTGGAAACAACCCAAATGCTCAGCAACCAAGGAAAGGATAAAAAAGATGTGTTTTTTTATATAATGGAGTACTACTTGCCATAAAGAAGGATAAACTTGAGAAACATTTATAGGTAGATGGATGCACCTTGAGACTATACTTTTTTTTTTTTTGGTGCTGAGAATTAAACTCATAACCTCACACTTGCCAAGTAGGTGCTATGCTGCTGAGCTATATCCCTGGCTTGGGACCATATTCTTAAGTGAAATAAATTGGACACACATATAAAAACATCACAATGCCTCCCTGGTGTGAGAATATGAAAGAGTAAATAATGACCAAATGTACAATAGATATTATCAAATAGGAAGAAATTGCTCAAAAGGAAAAAGGAACTAGGGAGGGGGAATGAAGGAAAGGAAAAGAAAAAACAATAAAAGAAGGATTAAAATGCAAACAAACCTTTGTAAATAAGGAGGGAAAGAGGAGTTGAACGGAGGAAAGGGGAATTGGGGAAAAAAAGGAATTAAGATACATCATACACAGGTACAAATTCCTACGAAGGAAATCCATGGCCCAATAAGTTGAAATTGAAGTCTGTATTTTTTGGTGTATTGAAATCAAGAAAGAAACTCAACCAAGGTTTTAGGAGTTAATTCACATTCTGCGCACTACTTGTTAATACAGTAGGTGTCCGTGGGATCCCCTAAGGAGCCAGGAAAGAGAAAGACAGCAAGGTGGGTGGAGGTGGAGAGGAAGAGAGGGAGGGACAGAAGGCAGGTAGAGCTGGGAGTTGTGGAGGTGCCAGGGGAAGGAAAGGCAGGACTTTCAAAAGAAGCAAGGAAACAAGCTGAGGCCTGAGTAACTCCTGTCACCCTGAAAGTTTGCCAACCCTCTTCTACTTCTTTGTCAAAGTCACTCAAGGAATCAGAAGTGAACTGATGACCGTCGCAGCTCCTCAGGAGACTGTCACTCACAAGCCGGACGTCTAACCGGCAAATGCAGTTATCATCCACTAGGTGCAGGCGGAGCACAGCTCCAGGGTGTGCGGGAAGGCGGGCAAAGCTCCGACTCCACACCTCCCCAAGTAAAACGCAAGGCAGGCAGAGTCAGGCTAGGGAGCGAAGTGCGCCTTCACAGCCCTCGGCGGCGCCACCGCAGGCACCCACAGGCCTGGGAGGCCCGAGGCTCGGGCATTTCCACCGCCGGGCCAGCGAAGGCGAGGGGTCCCGGGCGCCCGGACGGCTCTCGGGAGGGCGAGCACGGCGGACTGCGGAGCGGGCTCCCAGGGCGCAGGGTGGCCCGCGGCCGCGCCCGCACCGACGGCCGGCACGACGCGCTGACAGGACCGCGGGCACGGCTCTCCGACGGGACGAGCACTTAAACGCCCGCTTTTAAAATGAAACTAGAACAAGAAAAGGCCGTGGGCGCACCCCAGGGAGCGTCGCGGGCACAGAGGCTGTGACCCGAGCACCTGTCCGGCCGCCGGGCTCCGCGACCAGCGGCGGGCACGGGACCCTGG